TTTGTCTAAAATGCGACTTGGGAATCTCTCGACCTGCTTACCGGTGACACGTGCCGGTTGGCTGTTAACGAATGACCTACAATCGCTATAGACCTTGCCAGGCTTTGTCCGAGTGTGAGTGTCAAAAAACACACACGAACCCACAAGCAGCACCGGACTCCAACGGCCCAGCGACAGCAGCAGCGCCCGGAGAGGGAGAGCAGCCAGCCACAGCAACACAAGAAGGCACGGCCGGGGGAACACAACCACAGCTTAACATCAAAGCCCCTTCGAGGCCGTCACAGGCACCCGCCTGCCACCAGGAGGCACAAAAGCCATCCCCGGTATGACCATGCGAGAACATTACATTTGGATCACAACCGGGGAAATACCGGCAAGCTACATCGAGAGAGAACTCCTGCCCCACTTCCCAGAGGGGGGAGACGACACCAACGACGAGAGCAGCACACAGGGGGGAGACCAGACCCCAGCCACACCACGACGACGCAACAGCAGGACAGCAGCGGCGGGGGGACACCCACGCAGAACACACCAGCAGCAGCACGAAGGAGGAGGCCCAGACCGCACCAGAAACAAAGCAGAGAAGTACCGCATCAAACGCTGGCTCAAGGCCAACAACCTCCACCATACACGGTGGGGACAACACCTGCTGGGCCAAGGCCCTTCCCCACCGCAGCAGCACAACGCCAGCAAGCGCGGACCACAGGACGGCATCAACAACGACCCGCCACCCACGGCAGGATGGCAACCACCAACCCTCAGCCTGGAGGAGAGGGTCGCATACTACCGTACCGCAGCCGCAAGCAACAGCAGAGGAGCCAGACAACCACCAACCCAACACACCACCACAAGCAACCAAAGCCGACACCTACACACCATACTGGCACCCTGACGCGGGGGAAGACGACGCTACCACGGGCACAGCCACTAGCTACTACCCGGCGAGACGGCAACCACAACCACCACAAGAGGCAACATCCACCCCTCCCCGCCCCTTTCGCTAGGGGGAGAACACTCGGCACCACCACCACTTCCACATTCAGCCATCACCACAACTACCCACACCGTCCTCAGAGCCGGTAAGTGGCTATCACGGGTCGAATACCAAACACACGTCCCAGCCAGCAGCGGGGAGACTACACCACCACCACAAACAAGCTTACCAGTCAACGCCTACCCGCACATCAGTGGCGAGACATGGCTACTACTTGAGCCGATCTCCCAACACCGCTGGCTCGGCACAGTCACCCAGACGCCAGCAGCCCACCTTCAAGAACACCAAAGCCTGGCATTGCAGGAAGGGGACCAATTCCTCTTCCTACGCACAAGTACACACTGGAGCATCCAGTTCACCACAACTACACCAGACCACTTCTATACCGGGGAAGCAGCACCGCAACCGGAGCACCACCACAACCACCACAGCCATGAAGGGGAGGACCTACCTGCAGAGCCAGCCGGACAAGCTGAACACCAACCCGCGGAACCGGAGCCTCAGCCACCACAAGCACAACCACAGCAACCAGACAGGCCAAGAGATCCGCTTTCCGATGGCCGTGTTCTGCGAAGATCAAGCCAAGAAACACAACAAGCACAACAAGCTGCAGCAGCCCAGGCACGACGCAACCCACCGCAACCAGCACCATGGTTCCAGCAGATACGAGATGGGCGAACCATCGGACCCAAGCCGAGCCCCACCCCGGCCCCGGGGGAGCATGACACCACGGAGCTCATGCAAGAATACCTCGCAGCTACTTCGACTACTACCACGACTCCCGGGAATCCGCCAACGGCATGTTCGAGCGACGAGGCGCAGGGGGAGCTCAACGGCACGACCACGGACGAGGAGAATGTTGGGCTAGTGCGCAGGCGCAGACGAACCCCCCTTGCAGACCAAGTCCGAGAAGGGAGACGCCGAACCACCCGGGGGACCAAGCCGGCCGAGGGTAGCGCTGGAGCAGGTAGCTCCACAGACCGCCCCAACATGGAAGCGCAACTCGCAGCGCAGCGGCGGGCGATCCAGGCGGCGGTGGCACAGATCCAAATGATACACGAGATCGCGGACGGCCTCACCACGAGAGATGGAGAAATAATCTCCAATATATGTGCCATCGCCCTCCGCATGCTCAGCCACGCCGAGAACTACCCCCACACCTTGCCGCGGGGGACGGGTGCTGCTTTTGCTGGGCCCTCTGGAGCCAGTGAAGCTTATCGCTTTGTGGCATCGATGAGGGTACGCAGAGGGGAGGGCTTCACTCCAGAGGAGTATGCAACAGACCTGAGCCAGCTACGCGCAATGATCGAAGCTGGCTTGGAAGAACTCAAAGACCCCATGCCGGGGGATGTGGCCCAGAACTCTCTTGACAGAGCGGGGAGTCAACTGCGAGCTGCATACCAGAAGGTAGACGAAGCTATACTGCTCACCATGGGGGGAGATCGTGCCTGGAACACGCTCTCATGGTGGAACGCTCAACACGACCTTCTGGCTCCAGCTGCGCTTCTCGCCACCAAGCGGGGGGAAGCAATGACTGTGGAACCCGACACCACACAAGCCCACCCAGCCGATGTGCTACGTTTGGCTGAAGGGGCACACGGTGAGTGGGAGGCAAGAACGACTCAGACCAGCTCTACCACAACGAGGCTCCTACAAGCTGCCACCAGACTGCGGAATGTCGTGCCGTTCGTGGGGGACAACGTTCTCCTGCCGATAGTGGTGATGCTGCAAGCGCTGGAAGCATGGCGGCAAGCCTTATTTGGGGGCGTCCATGCAGTACATGAAAGTACCCAGACTGGACAGATACAACAAACCATGGGGGAGACACCAGACTACAACCACGAGCCCGAGAACGCCCTGGACAACTCCCACGAGGTTCGCGACGACACAGCGGGGGAGACGGACCAGCACGAGCCCGCCGACCAGCAAACAGCAGCAGAGATGGCGGCGATCATGACGCCAAGCCTGCAAGCAGCGATAAATGCTGCGGGGGAAATGCCCACTTTGCCAACTCAGCCTGAGAGCGCAGCTACGACGATCCCGTGGCACCCACCGCTCCCGAAGTCCTCGTCAAGATGACGATGACGGGGGGAGTCACCGACGCCGCAGGCTACAAGCAGCCTTTTACGGCAAGCATGGACCTTACTGAGGAAATCGGGGGACACCCTAACAACGAACCTTTGCCCAGAACCCCTGATCTCCTCGGTGGGGGACATGCCAAGGCACAGTAGTCACCACTTTGCAGTCAACATGAGCTAGGGGGATACATGCTGTCAGTGATGCCTTTCCCTAGTGTACAACGGTAAGCTTTGCTTGTCTTTTGCAGCTCAGTTGGCCGGGTCCTCACTTTCTGGCACGGCAGTACAGCCTAGGAGGGGAGTGCAACCCGTTTGCCCGTGCCAGTGAACGAAACCGGGGCTATATACGGGGAGGGGGGCTCTCCACATATACTTGTGATGCATGTTTTACCTTTCCGAACTTCCTGCTGATGCTTGGGGGAGCCATCCGAACCACACTGCTGTGCAGCCGAGCCTTGGAGGGGGGAAACCCCACAAGGACAATTCAAACCACCCGTGAACTGCGGGTGTGCGAACTTCGCACGAGGAGCAGGGCCGGGACGCAGCTCTGCCCTCAAGCCCGGTAGAGAGAGAGAGAGAGAGAGAGAGAGTTGCACGTAAAACCGTGCACACAGCCAACAGCACAGGCTGCCCCAGCGGGGGCATGCCCTCAAGCCTGGAGAAAGAAAGAGAGGGAGAGAGAGAGAGAGACAGATCTTTCAACAGGGTTCGTAGAGAGACGACCCTTTCATTCCGTCCATTCAGATCTTTTCAACAGGGTTCGTAGAAGGACGACCCTATCCTTTCTTTTCACTCCGTTCAATTCGGGGATTGTAGTGAAACGACCCCGTGCAACTTTCGAGCAGGACTTTCTCCCCGTAAACTTTTTTAGACGTGGCCTGTAAGTCCCTGCCGACCCGTAGGGAGCAGGACCCCCGTCCCAAAGCACGGCGAAGATGCCCCAACCCGGGCACATGTGCTTCACTACTTCGGGGGAACAGTCCGGAGCTTGAAAGCAAACGGAGCTGGCCAGTTTTCTGGGTGTTTATACGCTGTTGCTAGGGGGATTGTTGCTTGTTTGTAGCGTGGTTATGTTCTGTGATTTGCGACCAGCTCTCCGCATGAGTTTCCAATCCGGGTGACGCGGGTGACTTGAGTGGGGCCTACCTGGTATCGCACTGGTCATGGTGTTAGCAGGTTTGGTTTTGGGGGACGGGGAACATTCAAAGGAACACGCACCCTCCCCGGAAGGGGCCGAGTCGACAAGGATTGCGCGCGAGCCTTGCGGGGGTAGGCCCTCGGGCCAGGGTGCCGTGGCACCCAAACCCCCTAAGCAAGCGAGAGAGAGAGAGAGAGAGAGAGAGAGAGAGAGAGCGAGCGAGCAAGAGAGAGTTTCAGTTCATGAATAAAATGGCTGCCCTGTGAAAACCCACCCACGACTTTAGCCAGCCGCTGAGAGAACGTTCAACAGTCGTCTTGGATTTCGAGCTTTTGGACTGCAGAGTTTGGACTGTTTTGAGGCCTGGTTGTGGAAACTGAGACGAGGAAAGAGAGCGAAGAGTGCTCTCTCCAGGTTCCAGGAATCTGAAACATGTCATCGCTCTCCTCCAAGGCAAAACACGTGACAACTCCAGCGATTATGAAACAGAGAAAAGCTTACAGTACGACTTATGATTAGGTAAGGGCTGGTAAGAGCCGCTGAGTCCTACAATCCCGCCGCAGACTGCGCCTGTGGGAGGGAGCATTGGGAGGGAAATGCTTCGGAGTGGGAAAGCAGCTGTTGAAATCGAAGGGTTGCAAAGGCGCTGTATCTGCAGGCACTTCTGCCTTCCTGCTCATTCCTGCATCCCAACCTTGTACTCAATCCTTAGTGGAGAGACAATGGAGAGATGAGAGGGGAAATTCGCATGTACCGGCAAGTCTGTATCTAATACAACGTCCAAGCCAAGGAGTGGCCTGTAGAGAAACTGTGGCTCAGACTCTTGTCTGCAGCGCTACGAGGGAACTTGATCCGAAGCTCAAGAGACCCGCGACTCCCCTGGCAAGTGCTGATGGTGAGCCAAGGTGCTCACTCGCAAGTTCTCTATGTCGCGTCGGAGCACAGCCTGTACTCGCTCCCAGTCGCATCCAGACCGCACAGAACACATCGGATGCCAATTTCGGCCAGATCTGCCCGCGTTGCATTGAATGGCGGCTTCGTCTCCATACTGTATGTACCCTTTGGAGCCTCGTGACACAACCAAGAACTTCTCGGCGTCTGTGGTGCCCCACCCCGTCTTCAAAGACCAGCAGAAATTGTTGACAAGCCGCTCAGTCATGCAACATGGGGTTTCTGGCAAAAGCGAAAGCAAGCGACAGCGATGGGAGGTTTCCACAGCTTCCACGTCCGTGGCACGGACTGTGTGCTGGGAGAGTGGCAAGATCAGGGTGCTTGTCTGCTCCTGAGCTTTGGCATGCTCAAAATCTAAATGGTTGATCTCGACCGGACGTCCCGCGCCGTCGACGCTTCCAAGTGGAGGTACGAAGACATGTGGCGGCGGCGTGCAGAAGCAACTTTGCGAGCAAGTAGTGGGCCCACAAACAGTCATATGATAGGCTACCGCCACAGGCGAGTTTTGTCGCAGTCGTTCTAGTACCTCCAGACCGTAGAGGTTAACAGCTGCGAGGCTTATCCGGCCCATCCTCACACCAGCCTCTGGTGGTGGTCGACCGTGCTCGAAGCAACAGGTCCGGCACAAGGCCTCGGCGAAAGGAGTTCACACGAGTGTAGGCAGGTTCCGAATTTGGAGTGCCGTGCCTCAGAGTCCTGGCAACTACTGCCATGCAGTTGATCGAAGATTGAATTTGAGTCTGCATCTCTGGGTTTACCAAAACATATCAAAGCTGTTGGTCCATGTCGGTCCGCGTCCGTCCGGTCCAGCAGTTCTTAAATCGGTAACTAGTCACGAAGAAACAGAGCCATCGCAGAGGCAGGTTCAGAAGTGCGAACTGACAATGTGAAGTGCTATGCGTCGACACTGCGCTCTGGCAGCTCCTAGGGTACGCTCGTCTGCGTCTTTAGAGGAATGGCAGTTGATCCTGATGTCCGCCGGTGTTTTGTTTTGTGCAACTATCTGCCCAGCATTGCCACACATTTCTTAGCACTGTGTATTGTGGTAGCCTGACGGCAGAGAGCGCCATATGCTCGAAAATCGCGCTGGCGCAGGAATGCTTCGACCAGCCATGCCCGGAGCGTGCGACGGACTGCCTTATGGGTTTCATGGCTGCGCTGGGCAGTTGGTGCTCCACTCGGCCATTGCCAGAGTACACAGAAGAGCCGGGGGTCGTGAAAGTATGCTAATTATGTCAGATTGCACTTTGCAGTTTGGACACGGCTTGTGCAGACGGACAAAACGTACCAAAATGCCGGCAGCCTGACAGACATGAACGAACATGAGAGCCCCGTGTTTGCAGCGATCTAAGGTCAGTGGATCAACATGGCTGTGTGCTCGGCCACTTGTGGTTATGGCAAGCTGCACCAGAACCTGGACAGCATGCAAGCTACAAGCTTCAACTGATTTCAATTGTAGCGGTACGGTAAAACTGTATCAGCTACGTGCGGAGCATGTCCAATCAAGGGCTTCTTGCGCACTTTCCGGCAAGTGTGAGCAGCCCGCAAATCAAGCGGCTGCAACATTCTCGCAGCATTTCTCCGTGTCAGATCGTAAGCCGGCTTCAACAGTCACCATTCCTTCCGAGGAGGAGGTCTGTCCTGCGTCCCGCAGCTGACGGCGGAGCTGCATGCCCGGAAGAGCAGGAACGAAGTGTGGAGCCTCAGATGCAGAGGCGATTCTTCGGTGTCACATGCGGGCCTTTTGGGTTGTCCTGCCGCAAGGATTGCGTCCGGGCAGAGTGTGGCGGCTACGACTTTCTAGTGGCTGCAATGCCGGGACATGGGCTGTCTCTCGTCTACAGACCCGACCCCGGATTTAGTGTTATGCCAGACTTTCAATGCAGAGCTAGCTACTTCAAACTCTTATCGCACTCTCTTGCTCTCTCTCTCTCTCTCTCTCCCTCCCTCCTTCTCCCTCCATCTTCCCCTTATGGCTTGAGCATCTGGCCTCAAAGCAGTGACAGCCAAGGGTTTCATCTCAACTTCTGGCAAAGCAGGAGGAGATTGACTGGACCATGTCTTCCGCAGCTTGCTCGAGCAAAGTAAGCCGGCGTCGTGTGAGCGAGCTGCATTGAAAGGCTTTGTCGTGAGGTACCGAACAGCCTGAACCACCTGCATAGCCTGCGTGTGCGAATCTCGCGTTTCAAAATATCATAGTCTGAGTCATTGTGCCTCACAGATTCTGGCTTCGGCTCTGTTGATTTCAGCACAATGTACAGTCTTGCAGAGTCTGCTCAGTCTTGACTGTTATTGCAGTGCCAAGGCAGTCGGCACCTGGACCGCACATCCAGCGGGAAGCGGTCAAGCAGAGCTCAGAGCTCCATGGGTAACTATAGTTACCCCACTTTATAACATCTTATAACTACTATACTTACTATAGTTACCCCACTTTACAACTACCCATGAACTCCTCCAGGATGCCTGCGATTCGGTGGTTTTTTTTGTGTCACTGCACGTACAGCTGAGGCTCGCTGAACCTCGGCTCCAACTCGTCCGGTCACGCTCTGATGGCCTTGGATTCCGACAACCGCTTCCTTTACTTGGCATCAAGTGGAGGATAGGCCGAAGTCACGGTCACAGAGTCACACGGGCTGCTGCAGGCTAGTCAGCTAGTCGCAGCTAGTTGTGCGTTCTGGCAACAGGGCGGAACTGGCCTCTGCTCTTTCTTCCCCTTTTCACGAAAGCTAGCTGGGAGGAGTTTGCGATGTGTTTACCGGAACTATACTGAAAGCGCTTTCCCACGATCACCCCGCATCTTTTGATTCACACTTGCTTGAGGAGTTCCCAAAAGAAATGCTCGTGGGGTTCGGGAGAAACGGGTTCTGGGCCGCCTTGTCTTGCCCGGGTCCATGCCCTTTGGTTGCGCTTGTAGACGTCATACACACACACACACACACATATATATATATATATATATATATATATGTGTATGTATATGCTCACATATATACATATATATATATATATATATACACATATACATGCACACACACACATATAGATAGATATACATGCACACCTAATAGATAGATATTTATTGGTTTAATTGTTTATATTTATACTTATTTATCCTGGACAGGACAAAGCGTCACGCGCTGGTCTGTCAGTGTCGGCGATGGACACGTCATGAGTTTCTACGCGAAGGAGGTGGTCTTCACCTCGAAGGTTGGGGTCGTGTTGGGCTTGGTGAAGAGCACCTGTGCTCAAGACTCGTGCCCGCACTTTCTGTGCAGGCACACGGTGCCACGCCCACCATAATCGACCTGAAGATCCAAGCTGCTACACTGTTCGTCGCCACATCGGACGAGCATAGTGGGCTGCACTTGGTGGCAAAACTGCGTTCCGACAAGATGCTCCATTGACTCATCTAGCTTTGCTTTTGGAACTCTCCGCATCTACTTTCGGCATTTCTGCATGAAGCGTCGTTGTTGCGCGTAAACTTGCGAAGGAAGATCTTGCGAATAGATGAGGATGAGACTCGGCAGGGCTTGATGGTTTTTTCGCTGTACTCACGGTGTGCCTGTTCTAGCTTGGCATAATTTTGCATATGTCCCACTAGTTGACTTCGCAGCTACCACGTAGAGTGAGGCTAAGGCTCTGCAGGCAGTTGCTGACAACCGATCTATTCTGCATATTGCTTGCTTGAGACTTCAGAGAGCAGGAAAGCCGGGAGACTGCTCTCTTCGGAACCACATCCAAAGCTCTCGCAGCTCCCAGCCTCTTGCCACCGAGGCTCTGCTGACCTCCAGAGAGAAGTCTCCGTTGGTGCAAGTGCTCTACAAGGACTGCCGGACGCAACTGAGATCAGTGGACCAGCGCATCAAACTGAGTCATGACACTGTGTCCTGTCGGCATAGCGGGCCCAGAAAGATGTGCCGGCCATGCGTGGGGCATGCAGCCCACTCACCTGGCTGTATATAGTATAGATCTTGAAATGAGAGCTGCACCCAAGCTGCGAACGGTGTCATCAAGCGCATCTTCGGGGCACCGATACAGCAGCCAAAAGTTTCGAGTTGGAAGAGGTGCTGAGCAGTGAGTGAGAGCCTCCACCTCCACCTGAGTCCAGCTTGCTCATCGGAGGACTTGGGCCGGCTTCGCAGCCTGGCTGCTGCTGGGACCTACCTTCTCTGGGCAACCAGCAAAGAGGCCAAGAAACCCCTATGGCGCCAGCCGGACCCACTGCTCGGTGCTCGGCCACGAAGCAGGTGACACTGGGAACAGTGGATGGGCCAGCGCCTCTTGTAGCGGAGCGACCAGTTCTGAACCAGAAGTCCTTGGAGGAGCCTCCAAGGGCTTCATTGTGACCAGCCTGCTGCCGCTGTGCGAGCTGGCTCATGCTGTCCTGCTTGTGCGCAGGACTTGGTCGGCTCGTCCTCCGAGGCACCCTGGGCCCTGGACGCTTTGGGCTTTGTGTAAAACGCCCGCTTTCCGACTCGCTGCAGTGCACTGGGTGTGCTTGCACATGCATCGTTGTTGTGCCCACATCCCGATTCTCTCCCGAAACAGGTGGTGCAGGTGGAGTTGCTTTGGGACGCCAGCTGCTTTTTCCTGGCAGCCTGGGATGCCACAAAGCAGACATTGTCCATTTTCCAGGCATTGTGCGCGTCACGCGTAGCTGTGGGAAGTGCGGTTCTGCCATGCATTGCCGTCCTGGGAGACAGTGTCGAGAACAGTCGAGACATAGGGGGGGGGGGGGGGGCGGCAGTGCGTAGCTTGCTTTACCACATGCAGGACTGAACAAACAGTTTCTGAAAACACTGCTGTTGATTGAAGGTTTCCATCACTTTGGACAGCTTCGCGACTGCCGTGGTTGAACATCAGCAACTTCGACAGCTACGGCACACGTGGTCGAGCCAAGGTGTCAGACACTGGGCACAACCTGAGTCCTTGGGCCGTTTTCGCAGAAATTCGTTGGTCACACGAATGCCGCCACAATCCATCATCTTGCCGTGAGACGAGGAATGCTTGCAACTCCCTTCTCTGCATATGCAGGAAACTTAGTCAGCTGTCAAGCCTCTACCCTTTGCGTGCAATGCATGCCCTTGCTTGCTGCGGCGAGGTGTTCAGCGATCGTCAGGTCTGGAGCTTGCCCCGACATTTGGGGGAGGACAGGGCACCACAATTAGACCGCAAGGTCGGAGGCAGTTTTTGCCCGGAAGTACCCAATGCTCCGCGAATCTTTCAAAGATCTGCGCCTCTTGCCTGGTTGCGGGATAGCATGCGGAGTCCGTGCCCTGAGGACACTTCACTCACTGTGCTGCCGCGGCCCCAGCTTTTGTGTCGCTCACAGTTCAGCATAGAAAGGAGCTTCCTGAGGCCTTTACGGTTCTTGCATTTCTTGCTGATGAGGGTAGTTTGAACTGTTTGAACTCGGACTCCGGCATGTCTTGGCAGGTCGAAATCCTCGGCGAAGATTTCTGGTCTCGCATACTTTTTCCAGAAGGGCTTGGTCCTTTGGCGGCAATTGCAAGACACGCACCGGCAAAAGGAACCCTTTCCTCCCTGGAGATCGGTCTGACAACAGGCCTCAGCACTGCACCCCATCTGTGTCGTGTTTCTGGTACCTTCATCTTTTTGCTGACACATGATGAGTCTCTGGCTCTCGTAGGCAACAAGTACTGTTGACAGTGGCCGAAAGTCGACTCCGCTTTCGTGCCGAAACCCTCCAAAGCTGAAGTCCTGAGAGTGAGCTTGGATGTGGCATACAGTTGCTTCTTCCCCCTGTCGTGGCCCATTCTCTGTACTTTGGGGACTGCCTTGCGATTGGGCAGGGACTTGGATCTGGGATGGTTCCTATCGCAGTCAAGGCGAGCATGTAGTTGGTTTGCGTGGTGCGGCTGCACGTGAAAAGGCGTATGGCAGACCATGATGTGCACGCTGACCTGCTGAATGTATTGGGCCAACTGTATTATCGCAAATAGATGAGTCAGTATGAATGTGGACCTCAGTTCTGGTGCGGGCGTCGGAGAGGGTTGGAAAAAAGTTCTGGTGAAGCCTTGCCTGCCTCGTGAGAGTTGCGAGAGTCAAACCTTGGGGTTGTCGGCCTGATTCCAAGGACTGTGCAGTCTCGGACTGGCTCAACATTTCCTTGTGCAGCGCCAGCTGCGCGGGTGGCACCTCGATCAAATAACAACAGCGATAATGGAAATGCTATATGGCCAATGGTAGAAAGAATAGAGTCATCGCAATATTGTGTTGAATGTTGGCTCTGTGGAGCACGAGCGAGAGCAAGGAGCGCTGAAATACCTTGAAACCTTCGAGCGAGGCTGCAAGCTGTGCTGCAAACAGCCCATCCAACAGGACTCGTGCGGCAGGCCCGAGAAATTCTGGCAGAGGCATCGGAAGGCAGGCGGCACAGTGCCATTGTGACAACGGCAGTAAATTGGACGGCTTGTCGCTGCGGCATTGACGCATTACTACTGTGCTGCCCCACAGATCCGTGATCACGCGTGTAAGGATGATTGCATAATCTTCTTTACCATTCGGCCGCTCCCTGTCATTGGCATTCCACCGAGCTGAAGTTCGGGCGAGAGACCTTGCTGACCTTTCTGTCAGGTGGCAGTCGCTGCCCTGACGAGCTGGAAAGAGAGAAGCTCATTCGCACTGGTTGCATCATGTTGCACCCTGCAGCACAGCATAGCGAAGCGGGCAGCATCAGGTCATCAGGTTATAGGCCTGGACGAGGGACGGTGAGTGCAACTGGGGCTGCGGAGGTGGATAGCGAGGTCAGCAAGAAGCAGCAGGGCATGGGACGCTTCATGAGGATCACAGAATCGGCTGCAGCCGAGGCTGCCATGCAACGAGCTTCCGTGTCCGCTGGACTGCAAAATGAGCGGCTGGAAAGATGCGGGTGGCTTGGCAAAAAGACTACGGCAATGCTGCCGAAAGAGAGATGCAGGCGCTCAGCAGACAGCCGTCCGCAGACTTGCGCAACTCCACAGTCGGTGTGGCCTCTTTCGCGCAGGAAGGGCAAGGGGTCATGCAGCATCGCCACAAAGCAGATTTGCATCGATGTGTGTGTGTGTGTGTGTGTGGATGTTGGTTTGTTGCAGCTCAGTCTCAGGTAGCTGTTCCAAGAGCTGTGGGGGCGGAAAAATCCGGCAGCGACTTGGAGTGGGAGCTTGTTGCCGTGGCACACAGAGTGCTTCCGGTCTATGCACGGCCAGCTACTATCCGAGGACGCGCATCGTTCTATCGAAACCTGTTTTCGGCGGACGACCCTGCTCGACACATCGGCTTGCAATTGAGCGTGCTTTTCTTGGCTTTCGAAACAGATGGGAAGTAAGGGACCATACGGGACTCTTGCAAGAAATCGAAGCAGTAGTCTGCTTCGGTAGCGAGGGAGTGAGCTTGTCGTCGGTGCATGTAAGGAAGCTGGAACAAGAGGTGCTGTGCAACGACTACCCGTGTGAAGGACGATGTCTTGTGTGTAGGACTAAGTGACTGCTGCAGCCCTCTGAGATTTCCATGCCAAGATTTCGTCTCGAACTCCGATCCTGACAACGGGGAAGCTAAATAATAAAGAAGGCCGTCGGTTCAGCTGAGAGGCAGTGACGCGCTTTCCTGCCCCCCTTGGTTGCGATTTGCAACGGAACAGTCAATCTAGAAAGCTAGAAAGCAACACACGACCGACAAAATGGACTCCCTGACTGTTGGCAGTACATTAGCTGCTTCGTCGCCACTGTCCCGTTTTTTGGACCTGTGGCGAGGGCACTGCACTTTGGTATTCTCGTAGAGGCCGGCCGAATGGCGAACAAGAAGCACATCTACTCATCAAAGATCTATAGATTGTTTGACACTGACAGGAGTCGATTGCAGGATGTCGGGGTGGATGGACCAGGGGCACTGCTGCTCGACGGGCCCAAGGGAGTGCAGGCGAACCTTTCGTGTCTGGCGGCCAGGTTCTTCTAAACAGCCTGGGGCACGTGTTAACGCCATCCTGTTCTCTTGAGCATTCAAGGTTCGCGCAGCTGCGGCGGCGGTTTGCAGCGTCAGTTCCGGAAGGCGCATTGCAGGGGCACTTTAAACGATTGGAGCCCTCGCAGCATCTAGGTCAGGTTCTGAGTTCCCATGCTGCTACGACATCCTGAGCCTAGCAAGTCACTGCCAGAGGGGCATCGCCGCATCGCCGTGTCAGGTGCTGAAGGATGCTACCTTTGGTGGCCGAGCCTGTGACACGATGAATATGTGACTGGGAATGAATCTGAACGGTTACAGTCTGTACAGTCGTTTGCTGCTTGTTCTTGTGGCGGGGCGCAGCCTTCGAGGTCTAGAACGGTGATGTGCAATCCCGTCCCGTGCAAGGCTGGGCTGCAAGAGGTAGTGCTATTGCTATTGTGCCACTTGACTTTCCCGTGGAACTCTCGCCACCGTTTCGTTTGCCTTCGCTCCTGCCCAACTGTATCTTCACCGATGTGCCATACCAGAAGAACAGCAGCAGGGTCCAGTCATGCTTGCAGTTCCATATTCATGTGTTCCATTGCTTCCTAGACCTCATGATGGCAGATGTACTACTGTATCGTATTCAGGAATCCACTCGGGCGTCTCTGTTCACATGTCATCATCTGGCTCCAGCCTCCGCCACATCCGCTGCCCAGACGAAAGTTTGTGTCAATTTTTGCTTGAACAAGCCAGTATGATGTCGTTGGTTGCAAACCTGTGTTGATACGATTCTGTCCAATGTTTCTTCCATCCCCGAGTGCATGTATCAGCTCGGGATCTTGGTCTCATTTACGATTGCCGGAGTTTGTACCAAGTCGCTCAGAGAACTCATCGGTGCAGCGGCAGTGTGAGCGTTATCATGTGGTTCTACGCAGTGGAGCGGCAGTGGCCTTGTCCGTCTCATGGCATTTGCATGGCACGGGACCAACAAGGGAGAGAGAAAGTCTGCAGTCGTGTCTCCCGCCGGACAGGAACCGACAGGAAAGGAGTCCTTTCATGTGTGCAAATCCAGAGCTCTTCATTCCAGGCAGAGGGCTTCGATCCGATAGCAGCCGGCCGCAAGACAGGCACCTGCCGATGCACAGAGCGAAATCCGTAGAATGTAATACGCACAGGTTTCTGCTCATGCAGGGTTTTCATGGCAGACAGATCTCCACGATGGTCAACAGTCAAGTCATTACGTACGAACGTCTCTGCACAGACAAGGCTTTGACTTCGACATTGCCGAGTTCTGCGACCCGTCGGAGAGATGCGACAGCGGAAGAAAATTTCCTCCGGCATCAGAATTGTAGTCGGCGCGTGTCTTGCGACAGAGGATGCACACCGAGCCGTTTGCTCAAGCTGCAATTTACCAGGCTACTATAATGTGGTTTGGCTAGGAGTTTCCGCTGCAGTTAGGCTGACTCATGGTCTTTCAGATAGTTGGATCGCGAAGTGCACCTACTGGCGCTAATGAGAATCTTCTCAACATCCCCCCATTTTCCTTTCCAGCTCCTCCTTGCTTCGCGCATGGCGCTCCGCGTGGGTGCTCTTCCGCGGTGCTCTTGGAGTGAAGTTGTAGCAAGATTGATGGGTGTTACAGTTGTGGCGAGTTCAAGATCCAGTTAAATGAAAACAGTGCAAGAAATTACTTTAAATTGAAATCAAACATCCCTTGTGCACCTGCGCTATCAAACATCCCCGCAATTGTCGCATCTAGGAGCTTTTGCTGTTTTTGCCGGCCGTCCACTGGTGCGGCACAAGGTGCGCAGGCCCGGGGCATCGCGCGCCGCATGCCTCGGGGCCTCACAGAAGGGCGCCCACAGCGTTGCTGGAGGCGTCGCCATGTGCGATCCCTGCCTCTGGGCCTCAAATCTGGAAATTGGTACTGTGAAGTGTGGAGACGCCAACCGTAGTTCAGGAATCCGCTTGCGGACGGAAGTAAGTACATAAGTACTGGGTTTTAACGCACAGCACCACGGCACTTGAGCTTGACAATGAACTTTCAAGGCAGTGTGTCATTGTGGCATATTGTGGCCAAGGCTTACATGGTTGTCCTGGGCTTCGGCTGGACCCGATCCTGTGCCATGCAGCGAGACAAGTCTCGCAGCCGCCATAGCATGAGCGCAACTTGACATCATCAGTCTCCAGCTGTACAGAACACCTGCTGCCTGCACACTCCTACTCCGATGACAACCGTGTAACCGGCCAGTCAGATCTGGAGCGCATTGCGACAGCACCAGTCGCCAACACCAACCGAACGAAGTTTATGTACTTGTAGGACTGTAGGAGTCAGCAGCACGAAGTGCATGTAGCACAGCATTCAAATCGCACGTTCATGCAATTGGTGGAGGCTGCAGGTTGTGCTGAATAGGCAGCCGGTGCTTCAAGTGCAAATGACAACTACTTGTTGGACGGAGCCAGCATCTTCGTTCGACTCTTGTGAACCGGCAGGAATTTTAAGGAACCCGGTGCGTTTCATGAATCACGGCTTCCTGAACTCGTCAAGTGTTAGCAGAGCCGTGCAGAATTGTTAGAAAGCCTTGGCTTCGACTTTTCATGCGAGGGTTGATCCAAATTATCTGCTCTTGACCCACTGTTTGTACTACAGAATCGGTTTGTTATTGGGCATTCTGAATTCTTGAACATTTGTTGAACAGCTGGTGTGCGTGCAAGAACAAGTCTCACAAGGCGTTTTTGAAACGGCAAGCGGAGCATGGTCTCAGCTTGTTGGAACCGGTTGGCAACTTCGATTTGACTTTCCCACGTTTCCATGATACAACTGTTGAAAGAGGTTGTGAAGACCAAAGCGATTGGATGAACCCTCCCCTGCAAGCTTGATCACCTTGGGGCGGTCCAAGGCATGGTTCACCAAAGACCCGCCTGTGGAAGCAGATCCCACAGACGGCTCCTTCGACGCAGCCACGCACCTTCGCCGATAGGACATGACAGCTTTGTCACGATTGCAAGGGCAGCGGAAGGGCCAAAAGAGGGCGAAATCAGCACAGGCAGATTGGAGTCATCGATGCTGTGGGCTTCTTCGATCCGTTGGGAATTGCTCGAGATGGCTTCTGGTCTCCTGCGCGACAGGCTCGCAACAAAACAGCCGGTGCAAGGTTTCCATGTGTAGTAGTCACATGTAGTCACTATTGTCGCTATACTCGTAGCTTGCGCGCTGTGTGCCTTCGCTTTGCTTTGCACTCCTGGCCTGGCAGGTGGTGCCGCGTCTGGGCTTCTCCGAAGACCGGGGTCAGGTGGGCTTCGCCTTTGGCCTGGACAGTGAGTGCCGAGGCATGAGGACTCGGGGTTAAGCAGGGTGTCGGGGGGCCCCTGACATCTGAAAGCTGGTTCAAAACTGTCCAGGAAGTCTAGCTCGAGCCGAATGCTAAGGTACGAGCCAAGTGATCCTGCACTCAGCGAGGACGAGAAATGGTTTCGCAGACTGCGCGAGGCCGAATTGAAACACGGTCGGATATCAATGCTGGCCGCAATGGGATTCCTGGTGGCTCATAAGGTTCGTCTGCCCGGATTTGACTTTGATGTTGCAGGCGAGGGCATTGGTGCAGGCTTGAGCAACGACACGTGGCAACGAATCTCCCTTCTCATCTTTATTTTCTGTGGCCAATTCGAGCGGAATCAATTCCGGCAAGAATCTTCGCGACAGATCGGTGACTTTGGCGACCCTCTCAAGTTAAAGCAGTACACGCCTGAGATGCGGCTCACGGAGCTGATAAATGGTCGAGTGGCCATGTTATCTTGCTTGGCAATTTTTGCTATTGAGCAGACAACGGGAAAGCCTGCCACTGAAGTTTGGTACCCCTTCGAGTGATCTTGCGCCTGCTGATCTACGGTAGCAAACAGGTAGTAAGCTCAAGCAGATCGGCCCACAAGCCTTGACTGTATATATCTGTATATTGCAGAGGCGAGCATGGTGCAAGACACGTGCTGCGTCCTTTCGTGATTGCTTAGCCCCGAACTCGCACTGGTGCCAAAGGGAAGATGCCGTTGCGGAATAGCTGTAGCTCTGCACGTGCTCAGCTGTTCTTTCGACGGGCAGTAATTATTGCTCAATGCACCCTCCTTCGTGAAAGGGAGGTATTCGCACATGCCAGTGCCATACACACCAAGGTCAAAGGTGTCTGCCAAGCGCGAGGCCTTACCCGGAGGCCCAGCAGATGTAGAAGCATTCACGATGCATGTTGGGAAGGTCGCAACGGGAGGAGACGATAGGATGGAAGCTTACTGGGTCCAGCCATCAGTGTCGGCTCAAGCCTGCACTGGCGACTTTTTGCCGCGGACTGCGATTGGCAACTGCTGCCAAAGACCGCGCAAATCTCATGGTCATCAGGCTTGAGAACTACCGAGGCTGATTTCCACCGGCAGGTTCATTCGGCTAGGTGCACGCTTATCATCCGCGCCGCAAGACCTACCTCGTACAGTAGAGGCCGCGGTCCATTGAGACTGCCAGCGCAATGCTCCCAGCACCGGCGGGACTACGCATTTTCGGGGTGATGTTCAATTTCAAGCGGGCTGTCGTAGTTCGCTGTTCCATCCTCGGGCAGTGAGTCTACACCGCACGCTCGCAAGGTGACATTGCACTTCCGGCGGCAAACGTTTCAACGTTTCGGGGCTCGGAGACATGCAGTGTTTGTTGGATGCGGCGCCGTGACTTGCCAGTGGAACCGGAGAACAAAGGACTGGATCAAGGCAATATCTTGTCAATCTAGTCTGCAAACCATAAACTGTGCCGGCAGCACCGAACATGGCCTCAGGATGTGCTTGCCACACAGCCCGCCGAGTGGGCATGGTTCGGTGCAGCAGAGACGGCGTTTGGGCATCTCTCTCTGCCTCAGCGACCCGAAGCGTAGGTGTAGCTGCCCACTGCGCGACAAAGCCCTTGCAATCGCTGGCGTCATCCACATCCATCATGAAAGTCCGAGAGCCGACGAACTTTGAGATCACCTGCAGAAGTCTACGGAGAGTCGCTGAGCCGCTGCCTTGTCACGTTTGCGGAAGACGCATGCTGGCCAGTGAAGCTATCGAGGGCTGCCTAAACTGGTCACAATTGATTTTTTGCAAAAGTTGAAACAAGATGTATCAGGCCTGTCGATGTATCCTTACGTGACTGTAGCGAGTGTGACAGTCAAAAAGTCCTTCGCTGCAACACAAGCTTTTTCCCTTCGAAGCAGGGGAGGCTTAGGATTCCGCATTGACCGTTCGAGACTTCGCACTGGCCTGTTCGGTTAGGGAGATTTCATTTGAAACACCCCGGTCTCGAACAGATCTGTGCGCAAGACATACTGCTGATTGAAATTCCTTGCGCGCTTGAGGTAGTATGAGGTGGTTACTCTTGCAGAACGGTACACGCGAACTGCAGAGTTTGCTGGTCCGAGGAGCTTTCGAGACGGGCTCAGCTGCGCTGAGGTCCTTGTTTTGTGCCAGAGCTTGGTGGGCTTGAAGTGATGCGATCGGTGAGTGAACTCTTTTTAAAGTCCTTCTGCACACCTTCGAATGCCAGAGGAGTAGTGATGTTTGATGAATGCAAAAAGTTCCAGTGAATCCTGACATGCTGCTCCATGGCTAGTCCGCTTTTGTCAGGCCTCAGACCGCTGAGGACTTCGAGGCCTTGCTTGCACAGGGCACGACCTCACCATAGGATATCACTAAGCCGTGTGGCACATCGCATTGCTTTATCTGTGGGAGTGCAATCACAGACTCTTGGCAAGGCTGCGCTAAGCCGAGCAGAAAGCGGAGGAGCAGACTTGCTTCAGGCCAACAGCATTTTTGAATTGCAGGCTGTGGCCGCCGGCAGACATGCCTGTGTTGAAACATCTTGTGTTGACGATGCCGACTCGGTTCCATCAGCGCCCCCAATTTTCCGCTCGCTAGCTCTTTGTTTTGACCATGGCGGGGTGGGGAGACGAAGTTTGGAAGGATGACGACAAGGCTCGGAAAACAAAGTCACCGGCGAACCCGAGAATCCAAAAGCAATCAAGTCAACGCCCGAATTACCAAACACCCGTAGCATGGTTGCTAGCAGGCGCGAGAGGAGCCAGAAACATCATGGCCTCAGGTCCGCGTACTGCACGGTCAGCATGTCGAACCGTGGAAGACCTTCGACGAGTGCTCTGGCTCCTGGCGATTCCCTGCAGGTGTCCTGACATTGGATTCTACTGTGCTATCCCATGTATTCTGGGTAATTATTCTGCCCTACTCTGCTTTATGGAATTGAATTGAACGGCTTTTTCCCACTGTGTCTTAAGACTGCATAAATTGAAGGTAGTCAGGCGCAATATGCATGCGGCGCAGTATGGCGCATCAAGCAATCCATCCATCCATCCGTCAATTCATCCGTTCGTCTACCCCTCGATCTATCTATCTATTTGTCTGCCTAACTTCTACTTATCTATGTACATGGCTATTGAGTGATTGTTTATCGTTTACCTTCGGCTTTGCTCTATATATATATATATGTATATGTATGCATGTATGTACATACGTGTGTACATGTGCATATTTAGACTTATGTTTACAGTTGCACATTTAGTTTTAGACGCACTTCACTCAAGTGTACATTCTGTAGTCCTTGCCGCCTCATTGATCCCACTTCTATAAGTTAAGTCTGCCGGATTCCCCAACCCCGTCAAAAAGTGCTGACTGTCACAGGGATCTCGCATTTCGGTGTCCTCGTGACTTTGCATGCTTTTTTGTGCATGGGGCAACTTCGCACTGGTGGGGTTGTGGGACATAGTGTTCGCACCGGAGCACAAACGGGACATCCAAAAACAGGACGAGGCGAGGGGTGTGGATGTCACGCTCCGCGTGACAATGGGGATAGCCAGACCACACGCGTGCACGGGCGGGGCCATACCATGGAATGGAAGGAGGGCAGGGGACATGCAAGCACTCCGGCATAAAATGCCGTACATGAGTTTCTGTGTACTCCGCCTGGCCTGAAGGACTAATGCAGTTCCTCAAAGATGCTGGCTTCAGATGCCCTACGCCAATTCAGGCTGAATGGGCAAGCTGAGTCTACGGCAGATGCATTGCACGGCTCACATGTCAGGCTTACACTTGGCCAGTACTCATGGAGGGCAAGGACATCTGCCGGGCTCAGAATGCAGTGGCATTCGTGGTTTACTGTGCTGGTATCGGGCGGTCGCGGAGAGCAGTCCGTCGGAGCCTGAGCAGGATGTTATCGGCGTGGCCAAGACCGGGAGCGGCAAGACTCTCGGATACCTTCTGCCAGGATACATCAAGGCTTGCTGATAATACGGGCCCCCCGTGTTCACAACCCGGATCCTGTTTTGTGGCAGGTGAAAAGGAACGAAGGCAAGAGCTTCGACCCCAGCAGGGGTCCAGGCATGCTGATCATGGCACCAACACGCGAACTGTGCCAACAGCCACTTGGATGTTTTATTAACATCACGTACGTATCATTAGCCGTACATTTGCGCAAGACAGCTCTTCTGGCGGATGAGGATCTTCGAAGAGTCTGAGCGCTTCGGCAAGCCAGCGAAAATTGATACTGCCTGCGTCTATGGAGGTGCGCCTAAAGGACCGAACTGATGCGATAGCCCATCGTTTTGCGAGGAGGGGACGGGGTACAAGAAGGCTTTCGAAAACCCGCGCCGTGTTGAGCACAGAAACCGCTGCGTGCGTGCGTGGGCTTGCCGGAAGGACAGCAAGTCCGTCAGCTACGGAATAGCCCCCACTGCGTGGTCGCCACACCTGGGCGTTTGAACGACTTCCTGTCGAGCCCGAGCCTGAGAGACCCCAGGTGGATCTCCGCACTGTTCTGCATGCATACACACCCTTGCCTTGCACAATGGCCCCGTTGTTTACAGCTCATAGTACGTCTTTTGGATGAGACCATGAGCTATGACACCAAAACATATGACACAATGCTACTTCCCACTGCACACTCGGTTCCGTTACTGCACTGTGCCAGATAGGTAAGTCAACAGCATCCTAACTTGCGCTGAACGGTTGCTATATCGTATCATGGCCTTGACGTACCGAGTATTGTGTCATGTCCGGCTATGTTGGAAAATTGACAAGTACAGTAAGTACAGTCACACGTATGTATATATATATATATGTTTATGTATGCACATATATGTTTATACTTCTCGGTTCACACCTGTGTAATATACTTCATGTGCAAACATGATTTGCAAGCATGTCCGTGCTCAGATCGGGAGCTCCAAATCAACCAGTGCGAGTACCTGGTCCTGGACGAGGCGGGTTCGTATTCGTGGCTTGCGCAGCGCAGCATACTCACATAAGCTCTTGGACAGGCGGATCGGATGCTGGACATGGGCTTCGAGCCACAGATCAGGGAGCTCATCAACTATTTGCCAGGACAGAGGCAAACTGCTCTCTACACCGTCACCAGGCTAACGCGAGGTATCGGTGTGAGCTTAAACTAACCTCTATGCAGCCGAGACGGACTTGAGGCCCCGAGGCTCGCTTTTCTTCATACAGTACGCCACATGCTGTGCCTGTGCTGCCAGTCTTGATCAAGAAACTTACATCTATCTATCCGGTGTTCAAGCAGCGTCGAGACAAGGATCTGCGTTTCCGTGGTTTGCTCTCCCGTGAACGTCTGTAGATGTATCATCTGCCACACAGTCTATCCTGTTTGCCTTTCCCTCTCTCCTCCGTCCGTGTTCTAGACATCGTAGCTGTAGACCGTGTTGCAAGTAGATGGCAGCACATTTCTCTATCTTGGTCGCTTCGCCGCACCGCCTGAGGCTACATGGCCTCGCGAAGTCAAGGAAATCGCTTCACGACTGACGCAGGATGCCGCTCACATTCAAGTGGGCCGCTTGACAGAATCCCTGTGCTGGAGCTGGTTTTCGGTTTTTCGGTTTCTGAAGTTCTGAAGTCGGCCGGAGTTCGCTGTGAGTTATGCCATGCTGCCTCGGCGTTGACGCACGAAAGGTTCCGAAGACTCGGCTTCAGCAAACGCCGACATTACGCAGCATATCGTGAGAGTCGTCAACGAGAAGGACAAAATGTAAGAGCCTCAATAGTGCTGTCATGGCTTTGGCTTGGTCTTCCAATCCCCGGTAATGCTGTCGCACCGTCGCGTGCCTTTTGTAGGGTGTCCTGTGAATGTCCCTGAAACAGACAACCGTGGCAGCAGGAAGTGCATGTCGCTTCAAAGGTGCCGGATGAACAGCCCATGCTTCAAAGATCACGTCTGTAGCTCACACGAACTGTGATATTTCGGCAACATCCGACTTTGGCTCTAGGCGCTTCCTCGAGGGTACCATCTTCCCGGAGTTGCAGAGAACAGGCGCGAGAATGGAGAATCGATATCAGAAGTATTTTTACCGTAGTATTTACCACGAGTCAGAGACTGTAGCTGACGGCAGATCATGCGAGGGTAATGCACGGTAGGGCGATTTTGGATCAAGTTTTTAATGCTTACAGTCAAATAGCGACTTTTCGAGGCGGAAGTGTGCTTGACCACAGTCATGTGACCAGTATCAAATGACGCGGCTGAGCATGCTTGCTTGCCCCATGCAACAAAGAACAAGCAAACTCTTGAATGTATCTGTGGCATCGGATCACGCTGCATGGGCACTGCGAGATGGCGAATACTCTCAGATCTCAGGTGGATCTGGCCTGATCTTCGTGAAGACGAAGAAAGCAGCCTCGGGATTGTATCGTCTCCTGGAATGCACTCAGAGATTTGGAGCAGCAAGTGCGAGCAAACCGAGCTCCCCATACTGCACATTGGCGTGCAACTGCCCAGATGAGCTTTCGCGCGTCGGAGCGCCCATCGTTTGCCTTCATGGCGACATGGACCGAAGTGTTCAACTGAGTCTTGTGACCGAACGTCCCATGCCAGCAGAACATATCCGTGAGGACCAGTCCGGGCGCGATCATGCTCTCCACGCCTTCAAGACTGGCATGGCAAAGGTCTTTGCGCCTGCTGTGACAATCGAGAGGAGAGTACTATGAGTGCTATAAAGATAGGGATGGCCAACACAACCTTTCTGCGCCATGAGTCGCTTCAATTGGGGACCTTGACAGGTTTTGGTTGCAACTGACGTGGCCCAGCGAGGTGGCATGTCTGAATGAGCAAGATGCGTTCCTGATCTGATAGCAGTCCCATTTCCAGAAATTGGCTAAGGCCTGGACATCAAGAACGTTGCGTTTGTTGTGAATTACGATGCGCCTTCGAACTTGGAGGCACCGTTCCTCATGGATGTTAGATGAAACTGAGGGTATGGTCTCGTCCGTGAGACAGGACTACGTGCACCGAATCGGAAGAACCGGTCGAGCAGGTGAGAAGGGAGATGCCTACACTTGCCGCTTGGCAAAGAATGGCATGCATGGATGAGCCGGACAAACAAGCCTTGAACGGCGTAATTTCTGAGCCGAGGCTTGTACGACTCAGACAGCGGAATTGCCAACCAGATCAAGAAAGTTTTCCAGAAACTGGGCTGCATCAGGCAGCGAGGCTCCCTCAAGCCCATGATGAGTGAACTTGCACCGAGTTGCGGCATGCTCCCGACAAAGGAAGACCGGCCAGCAAATCCCTCGCGACCTCGTGGAGATCGCAAGTGGGGGAGGCGCCGTCGATACATTTTACTCTATCGTTTTTTCTGTTCTCTTTGGTGCCTGATTCGGAGGTGGCATCGCTCAAGGATGGGGCCGCGGCGGTGGCGGTGGCGGCGGCGGCGGGCCTGTCCTTAACGGCCAGTGGGGTGGCAAGTACGCGCAGAACGGAGGAGGAGGAGGATACGGCGGCGGTGGCGGCGGCTGGTGAGCAAGGGGCGTGCCCCCAAAAACGATGCCCCGCACTGTTTCTCGCTATACTATAGAGATACAGCCACTGTTTTCGACAATGCAGATCCCGTGACATAAAACATAACAGAAATCAATAGCAATGTTTGTTTCGCTTGCTGAGCAGCAAGCCAACGAGGGGCCGCACGCCCATTCTGGGCAAAGCCCGCAAGGGTTGCAAGAAGAGACTCACACGGAGTCCTTAGCGAACCCTTTTCGCGCCTGAATATCAGTCAAACACTATTGCAGCCTGAGAACTTGAGAACTTCACGATATTATCATGCGAAGCCTTTGGTGAAGAATGCGTAGTCTCACCAATCACAGACGAAGGCGCATCAGGGGAAATGCGAGCTTGCAAGTTCTTCAGCGCACTTGTTCAACATGTCGAATACTGACACAAGTGAGACGTAATTGACTTGTCAGTCTAAGCTACACCTACACCGTACTTGAGGAGCAATAGACGTTCGAGTCGGACTCCAATTTGACTCTTTGGCAGATCTGGACTGACTACGTTCTGTGGGCACAGCGCTGGCCGTCTGCAGAGAAGGCAGCTCCAACGCCAGGGCATTATGCGATGAGCAGACACTCTTGAGAGTTTTCTTGGTTCCTGAAGATGCCAACAGGTGGTGCTCCTGCGCCGTGCCGTGCGCAGTTGCTCTCCCAGTGATCTCGGTGCCGATGCCGGAGCCATGTTCTCTAGGTTTCCCCACAGGCTCGCAAGAAGAACTGCAAAATCGTAATCGCGGTAGAGAATCGCGTGGAGTCGTGCTGCACATGCCATGTTCAAATGATGTCGTATCACGCTAGGATGTTGTCGCATGACAAGACGACACGTTCTCACGTCCCTATGATACCACAGGCTCAAGGGTAACATGGCGTGACCGCGCCACGTCGACAAACAACCGCAAGGCAGCGAGGCCTAAGCAGAGACAACACCATGCAACATGGTCGCAATGTAGCACATGTGTATAGGCGTGATACAGTAATGATATATTTACTATGACGTGCTGCCAAAAGGACTTGCTTCTGATGCGTGTAGATTGTAGATATCTACAGAACTGCAGGTGTACATGTTCATGTTCGCGAAGCTCTACAAGTCAAAGAACTATGAAGAAGCAGGAGGCAGTCTATAATGCTTTCTCTCAGTCCCAGCAACAACTCGCGACTCTACCGTTCCACTTGAGCCCTTAGTATTATCATCCGTTCTTTGGCTTCGCCATGCTGAAGCTTTTCAAGAGAGACTATGGTTCACACGAGTCGCTATCCAGTGATCCGGACTCCCGTCCTGAGCTTGGTACGGATTTGTGTTTCTTCTGTCCTTCAGAAGAGAAGCTGCAGACAAAGCATTCCAGCGAGGAGGGATTGGAACGGCCTTGTGACATTTCTTATGTCTAATTGCCGCACACTTGACTGGATTTGTAAATGAGGCTTCTCCTGACAGCGAAACCTCCAACTGCTCGTAGAACAGAAAGGAGACCCACCCGGACCCTCAAGCCCTCCTTCATGGCCCATGGAAAACTTGTATTGCAGCCTCTCTGCGTATTTAAGTCTCAAACCTCTGGAGCCGGAGCCATTGTGGGCACGGAAGCCGTGAGAGAAATCCAGCTACAGAACCCCTGTCCATGGGCGAACTCGTTACAGATCGAAGAGGCGCTGCACAGAATCTCAAACAGTGCCTCGACATGACAAATGTGGTGTTTCGCAACTGAGGATCTGGAGGATGCTATGAAAGACCCAGAATCTGCGATCTTTGACAGCACAGCCTCGCGAGATCCGGCGAAATTAGGATTTCGTGGGGACTTCATAATGTGCATCTTGGCGGTATTGGCCTTTTGCCTTTGCAGGTGAGGTCCCATGGTCAAGTCGAATGGCATGATGTCACAATGCCTGAGGCATGATCATCATCCTATTCTTCTCTGGGCTTGTCGTCGGGCTTTGGTCGGAAATGGGGTGCGGCTCTGTTTGCCTGCACTTCCTGCAGAGACACTTCGGCGTTGTTTTCATCTGTGCTGCCGGATCTGCCGTGATACTGGTGCTGCTGTACTTGCTGGATTTTTTCATGCCTCCGCACATTCCCGGCGAGTTTATGGTTCTTTATTCTGGAGATTCATGGATAGGGCGCGGGCTGCTCACTGCTGCGCTGGCTCAGATCCTTGTTGCTATCCTCTTCCTTGCAGACAGGTTTCCCACAGCTCCGCTGGTTTTGACCATCTTTCTCTGTCCGACGGGTCTGATCTTAGTTCGCCAGCTCACGAAGCCGAAGCCTCGCTTTCACTTAAATGCGAAAGGCCCCGCTTCCCAGGAGCAAAACCTCAAGGCAAGGCTTCGGATGCTGAAGATGGTCACTGGTGAGGAGAAAGAGCAGCGGATCTTCTACAAAGCAGCGGCCATCGCCTTTTTTGTCACTGCTTTGCTTTGTATTATTGTCTGGATCCCTTGGGCGGTGACTACTTCCGTGCGCTTTGACGTCAGCACAGATCCCGTCGAGCGAGAGATGAACTTTGTGAGGTGGGCCACGCCGCTGATCGTTGGCATTTGCAACCTCATCTTTGCCAGCTTTGCAGCTCTACGTGTGGCACTGGACAAAACCTATCAAGGAACAGATCATAATCGGGCACAGATCATCCTGAGCTCACGCAGTCACATGAATCGCGAGCTCATGGATTTCCGGATCGCGAAGCTGCGAGTCCAGCTCGCCTCAGAGGACTCTGATGTGGGAACGCAGCTGCAGCGGACCCGCGACCGTGCACAGCAGCATCTAAGCTTAGATTCAGAACTCAGTTGAAGATTGATATGATTGCTTTCCGTGGAAGAATGGTCACTGCGCTGTCCTCATTTCTGTTGCAGGTATTTGATCCAGCACACTGCTCACATGAGGCGCATGTGTCCAAGATTGTCCACATTGGGGCTGTTACGGTTACGTTTTGGCCTCGGGCCTAGGGTGTCCTTGGAGTTCCTCCATCCGGTTACCTTGGTGCAGGCAGTTGTCCAACATCGTTCAGACCGTTGGCTGTTGCTTCATCGCCCTGCTGGGAGCCCTTTTCGTTGCCTTTCAGCTTTGGGCTGCTGACAGTCACATCGCAGACATGGCGGGAAGGGGAGGGTGGCGTAAGCAATCTCGGTTTGGGGCTCTGCGTTGCCGTGACCATCGGTTCCTCCCTGAGCAGGTCCAGTGCTTCCTGGCCTTCTTTTTCTTGACCTTTCTTGCCTTCATCTGCCTGTCTTTCAATCGGATCTGGCAAGCCATGAGCGCGTGGCTCCAGGTGGGTCCAAAGGGCTGCCCTGTTCTGGTATCCGGGTTTGAATGCGCCCCTTCGGTTTCGGGGTGTTCGCGGTCTTGAGGCTCTTTTCGTGTTGCTCTCGGCTTGCGACTTCTGGGCAAGTAGCCGAAGAGGGTGCTGCTCACTCTTCTGCATGTGTTACAGCAAGGAGCCCTTCAGTCTTAGCAGTGCAACCGGGGTGGGACAGACCGCTGGGTCATACGGGACCTGCAATCTGTTCCACCAGGATTTGCCCATGTGGAAATCGATGTTGGGCATTTGCGAATCAAGCTGGGCGCGTGCTTTATTTCTGGTTCTGATGCTGCCGCTGTTCCCACTTGCGCCTCGGCAGTTGGAATAGTGATGAGTTAGTGATAGAAGTTGTCACAGCTTAACTTGCTGGGAACATTGGAAACTGCTGTCTTCTCACAGAGGGCAGCTTGCGCAGAGGTGTGGGCGCGTTTCAAGTGCAGGAGACCTAACTCCGCACTGCTTGTAGGGTTCGCAGCATCGCATAGGCAATAGGCAGGCTTATCACGGCCCTGGATTCGTAACCTCGAATCGAGCAGAGCAGGAACCGACCGGGTCAAGAAGGTACAGACGGGTTGACTTCACCGTCTTCTGTGGAAACGCTTTGTTTGTCTCAGCTTAGCGCAGGCGCAGAGGTGGGCACGAAAACGCGAAAAACACAAACACCGCGAAAAACGTGAACAACTTGAAAACGCTAGATAAAATAGTAGTAGTAGTAGTAGTAGTAGTAGTAGTAGTAGTAGTAGTAGTAGTAGTAGTAGTAGTAGTAGTAGTAGTAGTAGTAGTAGTAGTAGTAGTACTAGTAGTAGTAGTAGTACTAGTAGTACTAGTAGTACTAGTAGTACTAGTAGTAGTAGTAGTAGTAGTAGTAGTAGTAGTAGTAGTAGTAGTAGTAGTAGTAGTAGTAGTCGTAGTAGTCGTAGTAGTCGTAGTAGTCGTAGTAGTCGTAGTAGTCGTAGTAGTCGTAGTAGTCATTGCATTGCGGACGTCACACAATCCATGTGCTTGACGAGGGAGGACAGTCACATTCGTGACCGGCTACTCTGTGGTAGCATCGTCATGGTGACGATTCCTGGACTTCATAAAGACCTACGGCTCGACGCTATCGGCTAGTCCATTCCATCCAGATCCACTTCATGGGTGGAAGCCTGCGACTCGGCTCCGCGATAGCTCTGAAACGCCTGGTAGTAGGAGAGTGCGGCATCATTGGTGTCGCCGCCCATTCCCTCTGGGAAAAATGGTGATCCAGAGCCCAACGAAGCAGTCCCAGTTTGCGGCTGGTGCACGTGTGGAATGTCAGTACTGCTCATTGCAGGCTGCATAGCCACCGCCATTTCATCTTCATCAGAGCTGCTAGCGTGCACCTCTATAGTCAACGAGTCGAAAGAAGGCTGCAGCGAACCACTTATTGCCTCCACAGCTGACGTAGCCGCCCTCGACATGGTGTCAGTTGCAGTCGTCTGAGCTGGTCCTTCCGCACTGGTTCCTGTGGGCCCGTCCTCAGTCGTGGGAGAAGGTCGGAGATCGGACGGAGAAGGTCGGAGACGCAGGGAGGCAATAGTCTGCCTCTCATTGCACTGCTCTGTGTGCTCAATGCCGCGTGTTGCCGCGCATGTACCGCAGCATCGAAGATGAGTTCGCCCGGCGATCCTCATGCATCCTTCAATGGTACACACCGAGAGGCCCAAGCGCTGTTCATTCCTCGCCTGATGGCGATGTTGACGGTTTTCCTCATAGTCACATCGTCCCGTGTGACTGCCCATCGAACAGAGGCTACAGCACTGTCTGTGCCGTGTATTGCGAAACCAGCGACCGCACGAGCAGAGCCTGCCTCTGCGCCCACGCCTGCTCTGTTCACCCGCAAGAGCCATGTGACCTGGGCCAAGGAGTGGTTGCTTTGGAAAAAGAGCAGGCGATGCAGTGCACGGGCTGCGCGAGTATCCGAGTTTATTTTGTCACGGAGTAGCACTGCACGGTCCCCTGATGCACGGCACACCGTAGTACACGGTCCTCTGCGAGAGTACATACGGTCGCGGAGACACAGACCCTAAAAGGAACAAAGTCAATCAAGCAGCCACCTAAAAGCCACCTAAAAAGACCCCAGCCTACTCCCTTATGCAGTCTCGCGCTGACTCACACGCAGCTTCCAGTGGCGGGTGCGCTCATCGGCAGATGAAAGCCTGCTGTTCGCAAGAGCTCCGCGTGTGCTGGCGTGGCCTTGGCAAAGTTAGCAGTCGTGTACGCCACGATCACGAAGCGATCCCCGCTGGTGGCCTTCAACGCAGCATGTGTGATCGAGCGGCTCGGGAACAAGAATGCACGACTAGCCGTCTCCACCAACGTTCCCCGCAGAAAGCCCACTTTGGTCTCCAGGTAGTGGCTCCCAGACTCCGACTCATACCAAAAGTGGCCTCCTTGGTGATGTGAGAGTCCGACGAGGAGGCCGCACTGAGCTGCATTACACAGGTCACGATGAGGTGCCACGCAGTCATTGACATTAATGGCCAGGCTTGTATGCGCAAAGTGAGGGCCTGCTAGCTCAGCGATCATCGTATTGACGAGTCTACACACATTGAGATGAGCCGAAGTAGCCTTCGCCATTCCAACCAGCCCGCCTTTGGAAAACAATCCAAGGCGGAACGTGTAGCCTTGCGCAGCGCTTCTGGTGTCGTACTCAAACTCCAGCCCTCTTACGGCCATGCGAACAGCCGGCCACAATGCCCCGGAGTTCTCCTCCAAGGCATCTCGTGCGAAGGCCTCGGATGGTCGAGGGACTCCATCTTGCCAGATTGGCAGAGGGAGCCTTGCATGGTCACTGTCCTCCATGTGCTCGTCAAGCTGGCTCGCATAGTCAAGAAAAAGCTGTTTTGCGTCGTCGCCCAGCAGTTTGCATGCCAGTGCTACCAGATCATTACGGGTATACATGGTGACCTCTGCAGGAAGCGACCGCTTATCTGCGCAGTCGCGACGCAACTGCGCTAGTAGTAGGGACTCCTCCGTTGCAGAAGCGAAGAGCGACATTGGCAGAGGCACGAGTGTGGCGCCCTGTTGCATGGTTTGGAACAGGCGCGACAGTGTACCGAAGGGGGGAGGAACTAGGAACCAACACGAAGCGAGGACCAGGGGGACTAAACCGTAACTGTAAATGCTGCTGGGCCGGCAATCAAGCAGTCGCCTCTGAATATGCTCTCATACCCCTGGTACAGACTCACACGCTGGCCTGTGTACTGAGGTTCCCGCAGCCCAACAAGAGCACCTGTGCGACCCACACACAGATGGCAGGGCCGACCTAGGCCCACCAGAATGCTCGAGCCAGGCTGCATTGGCGGGGCAGTTGTGAGCGCCGACTGCACTTGACATTCGCCTGCCGCTTCCAGATTTTCGGATGTTGTATGGATGGAACAAACCGACTAGCTTGGTTGTGTATGTTGTGTGTCGCGCATGCAGCTGATGCATGCACGCACTCGAGCAAAAATTGATGCAAAGAATGGGCACCTAATTTGTACTCCCCAGATAACGCTTCAGCTGCTGAGGAGAGGCTGCGGAACGCGGGCACAAGGAGCCATCCTCGTGCCCGCCTGTGCGCGCTATTCGGAACTACGCAGGAGTCCGATGATGTATGCATTGCGGTCGACTAAGTGCAGATCCCTTGATTTAGCCCGCCGAGACAGTCGATTATCGTCACAGACATAGTAGCCCCATCCTTCTATTCCCGGAACCCCTACAAGAGTCAGGTAATGGCCAGAAGTGACTTGTTGCCCAAGATGATAGACGACCACTGCAACAGTGAAGGACTCATGCTTAATTGCAAGCCCTACTGGCTCAGAAAATACCGGCATGGCCAGGGTGTCTCCCGGTCGCACCCGAACCTGGCGAGTGCACTTTCCACCATCCTCTTCGTAACGGCACATCTGCAGAAAGACTACTCCGGAGTGTTTGCAGAGAGCTTGAGGCGCATACTGATAACCCCAGGAATCAATGAGTGACTGCAGTGTTGCATCCGCTTCGCCTGCTGGGTGTATGCGCATCAAGTGGTTCAGCGGTCCTGCATCATTCAGGCGGTGAGGGTTGGTGAGTCTAGCTTGCCACCCTCCCTCCAGCGCTTTTGGGCGTGCATGCTCAAACAAGTGAATAAGGAACTCAGCCGCGTCATGCTGCTGATGCAGGTCTCGCCAGCCGACAAACAAGGGTTGCATGGCAATGCACTCAGGAAAGTGAAGCTGACACTCCCGCGCAAGCAAAGCCAGGCCCGCTCTAAGGCGCCCCCAGCATGCCTCCTGTGCCGACGAGAGTTCTCCAATCCAGTAGACGGCCTGGGCAATTGCATTAATGTAGCACACATTGCTCCGGTTTTGGAGTTTGGCGCGTGACACACTGAGCATTGGGCGTGGGGATAGCCGCGCTACCCAAGACGCGGCTCCAGCCGGAGAGCGACCTAGCTCTCCTACTGGCCCCACTGTGCTGCTCTGCGGGTCCAATCGCAGTAATTGGTCGCGAGGAAGGCCTCCTCGACCGATTTCATGAGCGGCGTCTTCTGGATCCGTTCTGGGCGGATACGTACCCCCATCAGCTTCATAACCGCGCATCCGGAGAGGGTTTGCAGTGCGTTGAAGCAGATCTGGCTCGACTCTCCTCGAAGGCTCACCGAGATGAGGAATGGAACCACCTCCGAGTCGTAGCTGTCCGCTAGGGGCCTCACCGATTTGAACCTCGTGAGGACCTGTTCCCGTGGGAGGTGCATCAAGAGCTGGTCCAGGATCCTCATGAGCTCCGAGTGCTTCAGAGCTTTCTCCAGCAGGACCTGCTTCTTCTGGGTGGGGTCCCAGGTGTGATAGGTCCAGGCTGGGTCTAGGCAGGACTCGGTCTCCTTCATCCATCCCACTGTGTGGCATTTGGTGAGACGCTCTGGGTCGGCCAGGGTCTCCGCTGCTCTGGTCTTGAGATCCGTGAACAGAGCCAGTGCCAGCATGAGGCGTAGGGAGGAGCGAACCTTTCCCTGCGAGAAAAGCTCTTGCCAGTTGCCGGCGGCCTGCTTCAGCATCCCCAGGCAGCCCATATCGCACGTGTCGATGAACATGACGAACCCGACATCCGGCCGGATTCGCATCAGTTCCTCCTCGTGTCGGAGGCTGAGGCGCACCAGACTTTTGATCAAATTGATCGTCGCCTGGTCCAGGGTGGGAGGCTCCTGCTCCGTGGATCCGCTCGGCTCCCATGGGCGCTTGCCCTGCCCCCAGTGTGCCCACTGTCCCTTCCCTCTCGAGGTGCCGTCCTTTGGCCACTTGGTGGGGCGTTCGTTCGGGTCCTCCTTCTTCTTGTCGTCCGACTCCATACCGGACAGGCGAGCGTTCTTGCCCAGGACATCCGCCAGCTCGCGGCGAGACTGCTCGGCCAGGTCCAAGTCCATGCCTTCCTCCAGCGTTGCCATGGTCCTCAGTCGCGGAGGAGCGTAGCAGACAGTGACCCAGTGCAGCTTGAAAGATGACCTGGCAGTGCTTAAGGTGACGACGAGGCTGGCGCGTTTGCACACCGCAGTAGACACACTGAGTGTGAGCCGATAAACCACTGCGTGGCACTGCATCAGCTTCCGCTTTGTGACTCCATGCGCTGCTATGCATCAAGCGTATGTGTTGCTTAAATCCTGTGGCGGTGCACCATTGTCCGCAAAGCAGGCAATACTGGCATAAGGAGTTGAGCACTGAAGGCTCGCGCAAGGCTGTTTTCCATCCTCTGCTAATGCACTCCGTAAAAATGGGACTGAGCAATAACGGTCCGGTGACCGGTGTTGCGGCCTCCGGGGCAGCCTGTGGAGTCCGGCACGAGTGCCCGACAGGCGACTCCACCTGATGACCGGGGACCTGACCCGGCGTCTCAGTGGCTTCCCCTTCAGCTGGCAATATGTCTTCCCGCCTTGCGTCACAACCCCTATTAAGGTGTTTCTTGAGGCCCTCAACCCTAGTAAAGATTCTTTTGCAGTGATTGCATTGCGGGAGACCGCCGACTGTGTGGCACACGTAAGCCTCAGCTGCCATGACACCTTCCCTAATACGCTGTGGTTTATCCTGTTTGAAGTGCTGTCTGGTGCGATGGGATCGCATGCGCCGAACGTTACTGAAATAGAGACCACATTCAGGGCAGGGCTTACCTATGGCTGGTCCATCTACCGGCGTCAAGGCACTAGCAGTCGGCGCACTCTGCAAGTGTGTCATCTGTTCGAGTTTGATGTCGAACCACTCTCGGCACTCGGGTTGCACGGTGGTGTCCCGTCGCTTCTGCAGGGTACGGGTAAGGATGACAAGAGGTGACTCAACACGCAGGCGTGTGCGTAAGGCAACTGTGGATTCGTGTGTCAGGAATGCAGGCGAACGGGCTATCGCACGCAGTGCGCGCGCGTCTGCCTGGTCTAACTTCCTCGCGGCAACACTGGTTAGACCGATGGCGTGCAACCCGTAGAAAAGGCTGCTGCGCACGCAGGCACTGTACAATCGAGCACGCTGCGGCAACGACATCTGCCTATTGTGCAGTACCCTTGCAAGCCTATGCCTATTCGCGGTGGCTGCCTTCAAGCGGTGTAAAGCAGTCTGCAGTTCGTAGTTACCATACGAGACGACCACTCCTAAGTAAACCATTTTATCAACCTTAGGGATCCAGAGGGGTGAGTGCGGGGTGCCCATATTGACTTTTACCCCATCAGGTTGCCTGACTAGCCTCTTGCGCAGCCATCTTGCCGCAGCACTTCCACGCAACCGGAGTATCAGCTGAGACTTGGCAGCGTTGACTCTCATGCCGTGTTTCTGGAAGACCCGGAACGTAACCTGTATGCATTTCAAGACAAACGCCAGATCGCTCAGTGACTGGACCTCCCACGACAGGTGACTATCGTCGGCAAAGAGAGACAAGGCTTCCCTGGCCCATGCTTCGCTGGTCTGAGCTGCCAGTTCATCGTACAGAAGGCATGTGAATAAGACATACAGTGATGGGCTAAGGTTACAGCCCTGCCTAACGCCACGCTGCATGGCGAAGCTGCCAGCATGACCTTTGTGGTTGACTTCGTACCGGCAGTTCTCGTGTAGTTGCAGGATCGCATGCTGCAGGTCTCGGGGCACTAGTGCATGGTCAAGGGAGGCTTGCAGACTTTCTCTAGGGACCTCATCAAAAGCCCTGCTGAGATCAAGGCTGAGCATAACCCCTCCCTCACAAGTACTAGCTCTAGCCGCCGCTCCCGAGTACTTAGCATGTACACTTTGCGATGAAATCTGCAACTGGGATCTGACTCTAGAGCAGTGTGCTGCCACTCTGCAAATCGCTTCGTCGATGGCCTTGCCACGAATGTAAGCAAACTGGGGACGCTGTGCAACGAAGCTGTCCGTGACAGCCTCCAACTGCTTGCGCAACTGCATGGCCAGGATTTTAGAGCTCGGGTCTTGTAGTCCAAGGGGCCTAAGGTCTCCGGGTCTTTTGCTGGGACGATTGGGTTTGGGTAACAGCGTCAGTGAACAGTGACTGACCTCCTCGGGCCAGTTGGAGGCAGCAGTGCATTCATTAAGACGTGCGGTCAGAAGCTTCGAGAAGCTTGGTGCACACAGCTGCCAGACTTCTGTCGGAAGGCTGGTCTTTGGCACTGCTTTGCCGGGCTTGAGCTTTGCTATGGTGTCGAGTATGTCCGATTCCTGGAACCTGATGGAGGCAACTGCAGGTGGCACTTGATATTCTGCAGTTCTACCAAAGGCCGTGCTGTAGTGCTGATAGATGGCATCGAACTCGGCAGCAGGACTGAGCAGACGGCCCTCTTCGCTCTTTATGCACACTACCTCACGCTTCCGTTTAGGAGCTAAGACCCGAATTATACGATGAACCTCCCCTAAGTCGTGCCTGCTAGCAGCAACTTCCGCAGCAACTATCTGCTCCTCATACCATTGCTTTCTGGCCCTTCTGCTGGCAGCCTTGAGGGCTCTGCTGCTTTGCAGAAATTTCGCAGCCGCTCGGCCGGCTGCGAGTATGCCTCGCTCCGGTCTTGAGGACCGAATTTCGCACAGGGATGCGTGAGCCTTCCA